CTTGTGTATAGCTAAATGATCTCTTTGAATTATTATCACACTTGTTTACAGTGAAGTAATATGGATGTGTTCTATATGCTGTGACTTCTACTTTATAAGGGCTTAAGTTACATTATAGAGTTCTTCTAGTAGGTACCCTCAGGTATAAAATGAGTATGTTGAGGTAGCAAGATCCCTATATAGTTTTGTGGAAAACAAATGAACAAATAAAAACATATAATACAATACTTACAGCTTTATTAAAATTAGAACTCATGCAATATTGTTTAAACTCGCATTTTGGAAAAAAAAAGGGGGGGGAGTCACCAAGCTAATTTTGCTATCAAATATTTAGACTTGAAATCTGATTGGGAGAGGCGGGAAAAGAATTAGAAAAAAATAATGTGAAAAAATGGGTCACATTAACCTAGAATAATTCTCTTATGTTGCACTGACCAAGGGATTACTCATATATTTCATATGTGGGCTTTTTAAAAATCATCCTCAGTACTAGAAACATTGAGGGCTATAAACTGGTAATGGCTGCTCATGAACCTTTTCTGTTTCATTCTAGCCTAGCCCACAGAGGAATCCACCCAATCGCTCTCCATTTTCTCTCTGTGCATGTAATTATAAGCCAAACTTTTGTATGGTTAGTTAGGGAGGCTTTGTGGGATGAATCCAGCCCGCAAGCCAGTTTATCATCCCAGGTTTGCAGAGAAGTAGAATGAGAAAGAGTTGGTACCTTCTTGGGCTGAGGCCTATTTAATCGATGATTTGAAATTGTCATTTCAAATCAAGGCATCTTTTATATTGAGCTGAGCATCTTCACAGACTGAGATCTGCTATTTCTTAAGAGTAATTCTTAAGAAGCAGTGAATGCGCCAACACTGGAAGTTTTTAAGAAGAAACTGGACAGCCATTTGTCCGAAATGGTATAGGGTTTCCTGCCTGAGCAGGGGGGTGGACTAGATGACCTCCAAGGTCCCTTCCAACTTTATCATTATTATTATTATCAAATTCAAGAGTAGCACAAGCAAGAGCAGCATCAAGTTTACCATAAGCAGTATGCCTCAATTCTCTTTCTGATAAATAAAGAATAGTATAACCTTTAAGCTATAGGAAAGATTCATAGCTATTGAGAAGAAACAAACCTACATAGGTGATGTGTCAGAATCTTAATATGTATTTAATAGGATAATCTTTCTAGCAAGACAATTGGGGTTTTATATAATTAATTTGTTTGTTTGTATTTCAGAAGTATTAAAGCTAGCCACATATTGATTTCAGGGGATGGCCTAGTTTATTTGTCGGGCTTAAATCACCTCTATAGTTTAGTCAGCAGTGGACAGCAATTAAAAGCTGTGTATGATTTCCCCCAGTTCAGTACATCTATGCTTCCTTGGCTGAGTCCTGAACTACTAAGGCAGGTCAGTATATATTAGATTGCATTGTGTGGCTGTGCTTTCCTGCTCTATATACTGACTCAGAAATTCATTAAGTATTTAAATTCTGCACCCTATAAATTAATCTTAATTATGTTTAAAAATTATTTACAATTTTTAAACATCGGCATTTAATGTTTTATCTAAAACTATGCACTATGAATTTTGATGCATTGCACTTATACTATAGATTCCAAGATGTATATTCCATATTGTTTAAAATGGTATCTCTGAATCAGTATAGTCCCGTGTACAATTACCCTTGCCAAATTATCACTGAAAATTAGGATAAATTACATACGTTGTTATACGTACATAGTAAAATAGTTGTTTTTAATTCCTCTATTTCTGTTGAGAAATATATTTTTAGCATTACTTTTTGGTAGAAGTTAATTTCCAGTATTCTGGAAAATAAATACATTTGTTGAAGTACTTGAGTTCATATAACCCCTTCAGCTTTCTTTGAAATCATATTGTATAAATAATGAAGCACTATCATCATCATATTAAGATTCTCCTATCCAAAGACTTAAAATATATTTCCCTTACTTCTTTTTCCATTTCATTGTATCATATATGGAAGAAGTTCCCATTTGAAATAGGTGATTTCCATAGGTCTATGTATATTATTTATATATTTTAAATATCTTTTTAATATAAGATGACATACACATCTGGGCACACACATGTACACACTCATATATAAATATAAAATAGTCTGCCTGAATCAATCCACTTCTGGATGAAGTCCTCTTTACTGAAAGTTTTACATTGTAATGTAGTATATTGGTCCATTTGTAGCTTGGTAGAATTTTTTTTTTAACTTCTCAATCTCTATATAATATTATATTATTAAGGGATATTTTTTTAAAAAAAAAATCTTCCTATTTATTTAAATATTTCATTTGAATGGAGCATTCTCTCTTTCTTGTAACCCAACACACATTGTCAACATTTGCTCCAGATTTGGGGAGAAGAATAGACTATATTTGGATATATGTGAAAACATCAAGGAACAAAAGACCGTGTATATAATACTGCATTTTGCTGATTGCATGGGTTAAGGGTTTTTCTTAAAAAATAATTTTCAAATGTTTTTAATTGAATTATCTTGAGAAAACAGTGTAGACTAATTTTATTTCTTTGTAGCTAGAATGTATTTAAAAACACAGTTTTTCCATCTGTATTGATATCAAATATTTTGCTGGAAATACAAGAACAAATACATGAATATTTTCATTAAAATGATTTTGATTTATTGTAGCACTGATGGTATAGTTTACATATGAAATCATGAATTTCTTGAACATAGTGAAGATCTTTTGTGAAGTTGCATATCATTGATATTTAAAATAGTTGAATACTGTATAGCCTAATTGTATGCTTCAGAGGTAGTCCTTTTTATTTAGTAGACTAAATAATTCCATATGTACAAATAATAGAATTGTACATGGCATGTTTAAATAATTCTCATCTGGGTAGGCATCCATTTCCTAATGTGCATTTGACAACCTTTGAACAATTGAATTTGCCTGATAAGTGTTTTCTTCTATAGGATATGCATGGATATAATGTGAAATCTGACATCTATAGTGTGGGCATTACAGCTTGTGAACTAGCCAATGGGCATGTACCTTTTCAGGATATGCCTCGCACACAGGTACAGCATAAAAATCTCTAGATTAGGTTCTTAATAACTAATTGAATAACTGTTATTATCAAGAGCATAAGATGTCTCTTAATTTTGAAATTCTATGTACCCAGAGTTTCAATTCTCTAAAAAAAATTAGATTCAGTTCTCTAAGAAGTATAGTTCTGAGTAAATTTGGTTTGGATATAATGATTTCTCATTTAAGTTCACTGTTTATGTGGTTCATGCAAAGACCAGTTCATGAAGCATTGCTCTTGATTGCTTGTTAAATTGCCCTTCCTTGGCAGCAAAGCAATATGCCACTTACCAGTGGAACAGCTTGCCCATCAGTGGAACAACTTGCCTTCAGAAGTTGTGGGTGCTTCCTGACTGGAGGTCTTTAAGAAGAGACTGGACAGCCACTTGTCTGAAATGGTATAGGGTCTCCTGCTTGAGCAGGGGTTGGACTAGAAGACCTCCAAGGCCCCTTCCAGCTCTATTTGATTGATTGACTTGGATTTAATTCCCAATGAATACTATAGGAAAACTGTAGGGAAAACTGCATGTTTTATAACTTTTTCTGATAAATACTTTTGCAAAATTTTATTATTTAATGCAGCCACAATGTACTATTCTTATGTAAGCTAAGACAGACATTGGACATTTTGCATTCATTTAGTCATGGTGTTTCTTTGCCTCTCTGTTTCAAAATGACTCCAATATTGTCTGTATCTTTCTACCAGATGCTGTTGCAAAAACTTAAAGGTCCGTCTTACTGTCCTTGGGCTATAAACACTTTTTCACGTGGAGAATCTAGGATAAAAAATTCTCAGTCCGGAATTGATTCTGGAATTGGGGAAAGCATGACACGCACAATGACAAGTGAGAGACTACAGACTCCACCTAAAACTTTCTCTCCTGCTTTCCATAATTTGATAGAATTGTGTTTGCATCAGGACCCAGAACAAAGGTAATGCTTTAAAATAATGTGCAGATTACAGTTTAATTATTTTAAACTGAAATTAGAACTATGTTTTGAAAGCCTGGTTTATATATGAACATCATACATTATTACCAAATTGTACAGCAGGACATCCATGATTACTCATAATTATCAGAAGACCCATAATATCCCCAGAGGGCAGCCACAAAATTAAAAAAAAAAATTTAAACAATTTTTTAAAATGTCTGAAATTTCATAAAATCATCAAATTTTGAAATATTTTACTATTCTCATGTCAGTGTTCAGACATTTTTAAGTGTCATTTTCATACACTACAATCTCAGGTTGTTGTTTTTCCATGCTAAAATTGCTGAGCCTTTAAGGAGTAATATATGAAAAAATATATGAGTAGATGATTTAACCTTTAGAGAGGAACATATTTTTCTATCCATGACATAGGTAGCATCTTAAGTATATTAAACTGTACCTTTATTAAAACAGTAATATTTATGTTTTAGTATGTACTGCTTTGTCAGTTAAAAGGTGGTTAATAAAACTATTCATTTTTAATTAGTGTTGCAAATTTGAAACTTCATATTTAAAGAGCTTGAAAACATTTATTGCAGTATTTTATTTTTAAACTATTAATCTGTTGTAGCAAGGACGTGGATGGAATAATTAAAATGGGAAAATATCGATTCTTCTTTCAATCAACTGATTCTGCTAAAATTACAAGAGAGAAGAAGTAATTACCAGCTGTTTGCAAAGGTTAAATATCTAATCTTTGTTTTTTCCTTTTGGAATATAGGCCATCAGCAAGAGGCCTTTTGTCACATGATTTTTTCAAGCAGGTGAGTTTATTATACATTTTGTTAGATATCTTAGCTGTATAAAATCACTAAGGCTTTGGGTCTACAAAACAGATCGACTTGAACAGGAGATATCTGTTTGGAGCAGTTTGAGTTTAATATCTAACTTTGTGCACTGGTGAAATAATGTATTATGCCATTTCTGCAAGTTTGATTTGTTTACAATAGGTGGTGTCCACTTATAAGTCCTGTTTGAGATTAAGGTGTTGCCTTTCTGATTTTGGTTACCGAACTGCAATTTAGAGTCTGCAACATTTGTTCCAGTTCTTAGTTTTATTTTAAAGAACCCATAGTATCATATTCATGGCAGGCAATACTTATATTTGCTTGCCTTGCCCCACCTGCAGACCTGAGATAGCTGTTGGCATAAACAAAGCTATTTTATAGAGCCAGCCTTTTTCTTTTGAAACACATGGTTGGGGATATGCAAAATATTAATTGCATATTTTATAGAGTGTGTTTACATTAGAATTCCACTATTATAAAATGTTTCTTCATTACAAATACTATACACATATCATTCTGAGCAGAGAGAAAGGAGGGGGCTTATAGCCTAATTCAGGAAACACACAATACTACTATATTGCTATTTATAAAATCACAAGCACCTTGGATAATATTCAATATCACAAGAGCTCAGCTGTGATTGTGCAACAATTTAAATTCCTTGCCCAGTTCCCACCCCATTCCCATCATGTATGGGTCATTCAAATATCTACTGTTAGGATGGATACTTGCTCCTCTATACGTTTTGTTCAAAGAGTTTCCTTTTCACCTCTCAACCTGAAAAAAACACCTTTTTTAGCAATTAAGGACAATATAACATCATATCTTCTGCAGTATGGATTACTTATTTGTATCTTTCTGCATAAATGCATTACAATTAATATTCTGTCTTTCACTCTGGGGCTCAAGGCAGCCTATGTGGCACTCTCGCTTCTATTTTTCATTAAATGTAATTATTTGCATTTAAGGAAAAGGAGATAACCATAAACTGTTGACTAAAGCAGTGATTCTTAAATTATTTGACCCAATATTGATTTTTCCTGTCTTGAATAATTTCATTATCCCCACAAAAAAATGCCATACTCCATGGTTTTTCACAAGAATCTTGGCAGTGATAGTCCGAGTTTCATCCTTGATTCAAAAACAAGTAATTACAAATTTCCTCATTACTCTGAGGATATTCCCAAATTATCCCCCAGTTTAAGAACCACTGGATTAAAGAATGGCCATTTTATCTGAATTTATAATGAAATTGCCATCTTTAATCAGGCCTATTGAACAACCTATCCAGAAGCAGCCCTCGATTTTCATAGTCTTTTATTAGCAATCACTGTTTCTATGAGTTGAGTTAGTAGCAATAATTAACATTTTGGCAACAAGAACTTGCATTGTATTGTCATAAACCTCTGAGAAGGTATTCATAATTGTTTTAATAGATGTGTGATTATTCCAATAACTGCCTTCTCATTTTTCAGGTGAAAGAAGACACAAAGGGTTCATTACTTTCACTCTTGCCTCCTGCTGTCAAATGTAGCCAGTCACAAATACCAACAGTGCATTCAGCAGCCATCTGGAATAAATCTGAATGTAGGTTGCCAAATGAGAAAAAGATATATTGGGAATTTTAGGAGTACTAAAACCATACAGGTGGCCCTCAACTTACAACCAGTCATTTCATGACCATTCAAATGTTAACAACAGAACTGAAAAAAGGGACTTATAACTTGGTCCTCGGATTAGCAACCGTTGCAGCATCCCCATGTTGTGTGATTTCTATCTGTGACCTTCCCAGTGAGCTTCTGACAAGCAAAATCGTGGGGGAAGCCAGATAACCATGGTGGTTCATTTAGCAACCATAGCAAAAAAGTCATTAAATTGGGCATTTCACTTAACAACTGCCTTGCTTAGCAATGGAAATTCTGGTCCTAATTGTGGTACAGGACTCCTATAGTTCTTTGAAAAATAATGTGATTTACTTGCTGCTGTTGTCAAAATAGAGTTTTTGTTTTGGTATACTTGAAAATGCTAAAGGCTTATACAAATGATGCTATCCAGAGAGAATTTTTTTCAAAAGGGTATTATGAGAATTTATTAATCTTTACTAATTGAATTGCAAAGAAATCTGTACAGCTCTTTACATCTTTGTTACATCTGAACTGTAATGGTATTCGTTTGCGTAGTAAAACTCTTCTTGGAATGGCATATACTGTTACAGTACTTAAGTGCTATGACTACCTTCCCAATATTAATCTGAAATATTGTTCCATTCTTTAATATATTGTTAATCACCTCTTTATCATCAGGTTTATATCAAATATATAACTTCATTAAAATGTAGTGTCTTTTCCTACTTGCAAAAAATATCTATGTGGAAATCTCTGAGAGCTCTGGATATCTACTACATAACCTTCAGTCGTTGTTGAAGTAGCCAACACTGTAACTTGAAAAAAGTAGCTGTTTTTAATGGAACATGTGTCTTTGAGAAATCAAATTAAGGAAAAAATAATTTGCCAAAGAAAAGCTTGAAATTACTTGACTTAATACTTAAGAATATTGCTTAATTTTCATAGCTTTAATTGTGGTCTGCTGTTCAGGGAATATAGATATTCATCCTTTGAATAAGTAGCCATAATTTGAACCAAAATTTGTAGGACTAATATAAAAGTAATCTGTATTTTTTAGGGAATGCACAAGAACTCTTGGCTATAAAGTTCTGCTGAACCACATGAATACAATGATTGCAACAACATATGAACTATTAGCCTCCTGCGGTAAACTATATTGTGAAACATGAGCATCTACCAAGAGATTGTGATTCATAGCTCATTTTCTTTCCACTTCTTAGCTCCAGGGTCAGTGAAAGAACAAGAAGTCTGGTTAATATTACTTAAAGGCTGAGACATTTGAAAAAAAAAGGTGACTTCTCACTCATCATTTTGTCTTTGTAGCTTTGCTTTTCTTGAGAAGAGAAAGTTCAGTCCTAATTACAAACAGAAAATATAAAGGAACAGAAAAAAAGGCTGCTTTCTGTGAATAGTACTGTGAATAATTGAACAAAGTAAACCTAAATTCTTGTTACCTGTACAGCATATTTTTGGAGGTTCAATATTTTATTAATGATTTTTCAATAATGTACATTCTATTTACTCATGTAAAAATAGAAGTTAGTTTTAAGTATACAATCTTATTTAGCATCGCAAGTGTCCTTTTAACTAGGAAACTACTGAAGGAAAAGTATGTATTGTCAACCTAATTCTGACAAATTTAATTGTAATAAAATATTATTTAACAAAGATCATTTGAGTGAATGGCACCTTATTTCATGCTCATCAATAAGAGAATATACAATGCTAGCATTTTTATTTAGAAGTTCTATTGTTTTAGGCAGATTGTCAAGTAAGCATGATTAGGATAATACCTTAGAACTATTTTGAGAGTAGTCCCTAATGTTGTCTGTAGCAAGATAGTAGAAAAGCAGGTTAACCTAGAGAAAAGTGCATTGTATTTGTAAGTGGGTACTAAAGCAAAGAATACATAAAAATCTAGTGAAAAAAATTTATCAGTGTTCTTTTGCTGTGTCAAGAAATGTCTATTTTGGTGAGGAATAAACGTGATGATTTGTAATATCTAGCAGTGATGGCGAACCTTTTAGAGACTGAGTGCCCAAACTGCAACCCAAAACCTACATTCATCGTCAAGTGCCAGGTGGGTGTGTCCCATTGGGTGGGCGTGACCCATTGGGTGGGCGTGGCTACGGTGGTAACGGCCAACTGGGTGGGACTAAAAAGTTCAATCAGTCAATTCCAACTTTGCAAGATCTTTTTTTTCCCCGCAAGAAGTTAAAATTGAACTTTTTTTTTTTTTGCACACGGCGGCGGAGGCCTAAAGCGAAAAGGCCTAGGACTGAAGGCCTAGGACTGGGGTGACGGTGCGCGTGCCCACAGAGAGGGCTCTGAGTGCCGCCTCTGGCACCCATGCCATAGGTTCACCACCACTGATATGTAGTAAAGATACTTTGAAACTATAAACTTTATGCTAAATCATGTATTTTATATGGGTGGTTCTCAATTTATGACCTTAGCAATTGTTCACAGTTACAAGAATGCTTACAATCCGATCTTTTTTTAAAAATATAAATATTTTATTGGGTTTTATAGGGATAGGAAATGGATGGGATCAGTAGGGGTATAGGAAAGGGTAAACGTAAGGGAATTGGGGATGGTACCCAGCAAAAAATCCACGCTTAACAAGCAAGTTACCATCCGGGTACCAAAAACAAAAAACATCACTTATATAATACTAAACAATTATAATAAACTGGGTTAACAATAATCATAAGAATAAAATATAGTAAATAAATATTATTCATCTTACTAAATAACCATAATTAATAAAATATTAATTAGTTATAATGACTAATGCTTAAAATCACATTCATCCAAATTAATTTCAAAATCTTTTCTCATTCTATCGTATTGCTAGCCATTGATAAATTTTTTCCCATGTTTTAAAGTGGATAGTCTTCTTTCTCTTTGATCTCTAAAGTTAATCTATCCATTTCTGCCCATTCTAAAATTTTAGTAATAATAGTCTGATCAAATGGTAAATCTTCATTTTTCCAAAATTGGGCAAATACTATTCTCGCCGCTGTCAATACATGTAATATTAAATATTCATTCTCTTTTCCATAATTAGTTCCTAATAATCCTAACAAAAACAATTCTGGCTTAAATTCTATTTGTATTTTAGTCATTTTTTCCAGCCATCGATGGATCTTAAACCAAAATTTCTTTGCCTTAGGGCATGTCCACCAGGCATGGTAGTAGATACCTGGTTTTTGTTTACATTTCCAGCAAATATTCGATACGTTTTTAAACATTTTCGCTAATCTAACTGATGTCATATGCCATCTATAAAACATTTTGTATAAGTTTTCTTTATATGAGGCTGCTTTAGTAAGTTTAATATTTCTATCCCAGAGTTTTTGCCAATCTTCTAAGTTTATAGAATGTCCAAAGTTCTTTGCCCATATTATCATTTTACAATCCGATCTTGAAGTTATGATGGTGCGCGTGCGCAGTCATGTGATAGCATACTTTTACTGCCATTTGCCATGTCTTGCTGTCACATGACTAGGGTTTTTTATGTTTTTTGCCAATTTCTGTTATTTCAAATTCCAGCAAAAAAAGCCCATTAAGGAAAATAATAGATTGGCTTAAAAACCAGTGCTTGTTTAACAGTTGTGGCATCTGCTTAACAATTGCCAAAGAAAATGCTTAAAAATCAGGTCCACTCATGTAATGCTTCAACTTACAACTATAATTTTACAACCATAATTCCGTGCTCACTTATGCTTGTAAATTAAGTAGATATTTTTGTCCTAAATGGTGATTACTGAACTTACAGCAAAAAGCTTAAATCTGTTTTCAACTTCAAATTGGAATTAGTATTTTTCTGTTTTCTTATTTCATTCATAATCAATCTAGATTGATCAGTATTTTCACATTTTTTTTCCTAAGTGTATCAAAACTTTGTATTAAAACACTTTTTGTGAAAAAAAACAGATTTGGTCCTAAAGGTACACTACCATGTCACTTTGTAAATACATAAGAGTCACCATTTTATCACTTCAACATGATACACAAATTCCTCATTGAAGTAATAAATTCCTCCTTGAAGTCATAACTGAAAACTAGTTTTTGTTCTAAATCTAACCATAGGTTTGTCACAAGCAGCTGTTTTATCAGGAGTAACTAAACTGATACTTCTTTGATGATCCCTTTCAGAATAGGAAACAAATTTGGTGTTCCACTTTTGGGACATTAGAGATTCTAAAATCTTTTCTTTCCTGATAGTTTCTTTTCTTGTGACATTTAGTTTTCGTGACTTTTGATTTATAGGTCAGTTTAATTCTTTTATGGTAGTTTAAAGTCTTTTTATGGCATAAACTTTTATGGATTAAATTCCATTTCATTGGATCCTTAAAGAATAGCCATACAATTTAATCAAGATGAGGGAACAGAAAATAGAGGAAAGTGGAGTCAGAGAGAAATTACATGCAGTAAAGAAACTGCCAATTATATAGAAGCATACAGTAAAAATCATTTCAGTGAACATTAACAGGTGGTTAATCTGTAACTGAGTCTAAGAGGTCATTCAAACATTCAGCACATATGCTTTGAATCTATAGATTAACCTTCAAAAACTTTGGTGAGCTTCCCTCCCATACCTTCCTATTCAGGCATAGCAATCACTTATATACCGCTTCATGGTGCCGTACAGCTCTAAGCAGGTTACAATGTGAGTATATTGCCCCCAGCAATCTGAGTCCTCATTTTACCAGTCTCAAAAGGATGGACGGCTGTGTCAACTTCGAGCCTCGTCAGGATTAAACACCTGGCAGTGGGCAGAGTTAGCTTGCAATACTGCATTCCAACCACTGCACCACAGCATGCTCCTGCTGAACACACCTGTCAACCCTTGGTTCTCAGACCACCATTGCGATTCATTAAGAATAGTGAGATGATGTGGCAGAGAGAAAGAATGAGAGAAGCAAGCAACAAAAATCATCTGAAGAATCGAGTCATACATGTGCTGTCCTATGTGATTAGGAGTGGCATATATGATGCTTTCAAATCTTGATTCCTGGTGAATATGTAGACAAGTACATTGTCAAGTCATTTTCTTGGCAATATTTTGCAGAAGTGGTTTGCCTTGCCTTCTTTCTAGGGCTGAGTGAGTGACTGGCCCAAGGTCACCC